TAGTTGCCCTGGGAATGTGATACACTTGGAAAGTGAATTTTATTTGCCTTGGTTTATAATACCTGCATCTGAAAAAGCTATGAAATCTGTTAATTCTCAGAAAAAGTTCCCAACTTTTATGGGTTTATGGTCTTTACATACAATAGGAATGAAGGATTATGTATGTGTGTGTGTGTGTGTGTGTGTGTGTGTAATCTTTGTAGGTAGCAAAGATTCTGTGTGATGCCTAGGTCATACAAATCTGTGATTAACTTTATAACAACTTTTCATACTGTCTTCCAAAATGACTGTACCAGTTTTTTTATTTCCATGAATAATGAGTGAGAATTTCTGTTGCCCCACATTCTTAAGCTATTTTGATATTGGTCTCAGGCGGTTTTAGCTAGTTGTTGTTTTAATTTACATTTCCCAATAACAAATGATGTTGAGAACCTTTATATTTTATTTTCCAACTTCATAAAACATTTTTAGTAAAATATCTGTTCAGATCCTTTGTCTATTTGGTATTGGATTAATTTTGTATTTTTTTGTCATTGAGTTTTAAGAATTCCTTATGCATTCTAGATATGAATGCTTTATGAGATAAATGATTTCCAAACATTTTCTCCCATTCTGTTGCTGGTCTTTTCATTGTTTCAACAGTATCGAAAAAAGCAAAAGTTTTCCATTTTTGTAAAGTCCAATTCATATTTTTTTTTCTTTTGTGGATTGGGCTTTTGAAATTATATCTAAAAATTTATAACCAAAACTAAGGTCATGAAGATATTCTAGATGTTTTTCTATAGGTTGTGTAGTATTATGTTTTACATGTACGCCTATGATCCATTTTGATTTAATTTTTGTATAAGATGTAAAGTATATGAGGTTTGAGGTTTATGTGATTTGGGTTTTTGTTTTGTTTTGTTTTTTTCAAATGGATGGTCATTTGTTTTAGGACAACTTTTTCATTTTTGACTTTTCTATTCTGTTCTATTGATGTGTGTATTTATCATTTCACCAGTCTCACACTATCATAATTACTGTAATATTCTTGAAATCAGGACACATGCATCTTCCAAGTATATTTTCCTTTTTAAGAGTTGCCTTGGCTATTCCTTTGGTTCTGTGTACATTACATAGATTGTATATATTTTATAATCTACATATTGATACCTATTAAAAGGTTTGTTTGGATTTTTATTTGTGTTGTGTTGCATATATAATTTGGGAAACATGGACACCTTTCAAATATTAAGTCTTTCAATCCATGAACTTAGTATCTTTCTTCAGTCATCTAGATCTTTGTTGCATTGGTATTGTATAGTCTTCTACATACAAATCTTCCACATATATTATAAGACTTATATATCTAAGTTCTCTTTTAGTGTTATTGTAAATAGCATTTTTTTAAATTTTAGATTCTAGTTTTTATTGGAGATGTATAAGATTAAAATTGACTTTTGTATGTTAACCTTATATCCTGTGACCTTGCTAAACCCACTTATTAGTTCCAGGTAGGGGTGTGTGTGTGTGTGTATGTGTGTGTGTTTATTTTCTCCTTTCCACTGTATATGCCTTTTATTCTTTTTTCTTGCCTCATTGAACTAGCTAGAACTTCCAAGATGATGTTAAGTAAAGGTGTTAATTGAAAACACCTTTGCCTTTTTCTGTATTTTTATAGGGAAAGTATTCAGTATCTTGCCATGAAGTATGATGTTAGTTGGAAGTTTTTCATAAACATCTTTTATCAAGTTAAGGAAATTCCTTTCAAATTCTAGTTTGTATGAGTTTTTTAAAATTATGAGTAGATGTTGAATTTTCTTGAGTGTTTTTTCTTCATTTACTGATAGGTTTTTTCTTATCTAGTCTACTCATATAGTGAGGTACATTGATTAATTTTGAATGCTGAACCAGCCCTATATTCCTGAGATAAGCCCGACTTCTTTGTGCAGTATTATCCTTTTTTATGGACTACTGGATTTTACTTGCTAATATTTTGTTAGGGCTTTTCATATCTGTGTTCATGAGAGATGTTGATCTGAAGTTTTCTTGTGAATATATGAGAAAACGTGTGTATGTATGTGTGTGTTTATCTCTCAATAGATATAGAGATAGATATACATACAGGTAGATATATCTCTACCAGTGCATAGTTATGCATAGGCAAATTTTAATACAACAACTCAGAGTCCATTCTAACCTTCCCCCTTTTCATATATTAACTCTCTTCTCCTGGTTCTTATTATCCACAATATATTTACTTACTTACCCAATTTTATAATATACATAAAAGTGCTTCATAATTGCTAACCCATATCTACTCACAAGAGCATAATATTTGTTTACAGTTCTTTTGGTCTTTAACCTGAGGGCATGTAGTCAAAATACTGTGTTGACTATTACTCCCATCCTCTTTCAGTGTGGTCATGTTATCCATTTAAAATGGAGCTGGGTTCGGGAGAGGTTCCAAGATGGCCAAATAGGAACAGCTCTAGTCAACAGCTCCCAGCCTGAGCAATGCAGAAGATGGGTGATTTCTGCATTTCCAACTGAGGTACCAGGTTCATCTCACTGGGGCTTGTCAGAAAGTGGGTGCAGCCCACAGAGCCTGAGCCAAAGCAGAGCAGGGCATCACCTCACCTGGGAAGCGCAAGGGGTCAGGGAATTCCCTATCCTAGCCAAGGGAAGCCGTGACAGACAGTACCTGGAAAATTGGGACACTCCCACCCTAATACTGCGCTTTTCCAATGGTCTTCGCAAACGGCACACCAGGAAATTATATCCCGCGCCTGGCTCGGAGGGTCCTATGCCCACAGAGCCTCACTCACTGCTAGCACAGCAGTCTGAGATCGAACTGCAAGGCGGCAGCCAGACTGGGGGAGAGGGGTCTGCCACTGCTGAGGCAGTAAACAAAATGGCCAGGAAGTTCAAACTGGGTGGAGCCCACCGCAGCTCAAGGAGGCCTGCCTGCCTCTGTGGACTCCATCTCTGAGGGCAGGGCATAGCTGAACAAACGGCAGCAGAAACTTTTGCAGGCTTAAACGTCCCTGTCTGACAGCTTTGAAGAGAGTAGTGGTTCTCCCAGCATGGAGTTTGAGATCTGAGAACGAACAGACTGCCTCCTCAAGTGCATCCCTGACCTCTGAGTAGCCTAGCTGGGAGGCACTTCCCAGTAGGGACCGACTGACACCTCATACGGCCAGGTGCCCCTCTGAGACAAAGGCTCCAGAGGAAGAGGAAGGATCAGGCAGAAACATTTGCCATCCTGCAATATTTGCTGTTCTGCAACCCCCACTGGTGATACCCAGGCAAACAGGGTCTGGAGTGGACCTCCAGCAAACTCCAACAGACCTGCAGCTGAGGGTCCTGACTGTTAGAAGGCAAACTAACAAACAGAAAGGACATCCACACCAAAACTGCATCTGTATGTCACCATCATCAAAGACCAAAGGTAGATAAAACCACAAAGATGGGGAGAAACCAGAGCAGAAAAGCTGAAAATTCTAAAAATCAGAGCACCTCTTCACCTCCAAAGAAACGCAGCTCTTCGCCAGTGACAGAACAGAGCTCGATGGAGAATGACTGAGGATTTGAGAGAAGAAGACTTCAGACAATTGATAATAACACACTTCTCTGAACTAAAGGAGGATGTTCGAACCCATTGCAAAGAAGATAAAAACCTTGAAAAAAGATAAGACGAATGGCTAACTAGAATAAACAGCATAGAGAAGACCTTAAATGACCTGATGGAGCTGAAAACCATGACACGAGAACTACATGACACATGGACAAGCTTCAGTAGCCAATTCTATCAAGTGGAAGAAAGGATATCAGTGATTAAAGATCAAATGAATGAAATGAAGTGAGAAGAGAAGTTTAGAGAGAAAAGAGTGAGAAGAAATGAACAAAGCCTCCATGAAATATGGGACTATGTGAAAAGTCTGATTGGTGTACCTGAAAGTGACAGGGAGAATGGAACCAAATTGGAAAACACTCTGCAGGATATTATCCAGGAGAACTTCCTCAAGCTAGCAAGGCAGGCCAACATTCAACTTCAGGAAATAGAGAGAACACCACAAAGATACTCCTCGAGAAGAGCAACTCCAAGACACATAATTGTCAGATTCACCAAAGTTGAAATGAAGGAAAAAATGTTAAGGGCAGTCAGAGAGAAAGGTCGGGTTACCCACAAAGGGAAGCCCATCAGATTAACGGAGGATCTCTCGGCAGAAACTCTACAAGCCAGAAGAGAGTGGGGGCCAATATTCAACATTCTTAAAGAAAAGAATTTTCAACCCAGAATTTCATGTCCAGTCAAACTAAGCTTCATAAGTGAAGGAGAAATAAAATCCTTTACAGACAAGCAAATGCCGAGAGATTTTGTCACCACCGGGCCTGCCTTACAAGACCTCCTGAAGGAAGCACTAAACATGGAAAGGAACAACCAGTACCAGCCACTGCAAAAACATGCCAAATTGTAAAGACCATTGATGCTAGGAAGACACTGCATCAACTAACGAGCAAAATAACCAGCTAACATCATAATGACAGTACCAAATTCACATATACCAATATTAACCTTAAATGTAAATGGGCTAAATGCTCCAATTAAAAGACACAGACTGGCAAATTGGATAACGAGTCAAGACCCATCAGTGTGCTTTAATCAGAAGACCCATCTCATGTGCAGAGACACAGATAGGCTCAAATTAAAGGGATGGAGGAAGATCTACCAAGCAAATGGAAAACAAAAAAAAGCAGGGGTTGCAATCCTAGTCTCTGATAAAACAGACTTTAAACCAACAAAGATCAAAAGAGACAAAGAAGGCCATTATATAATGGTAAAGGGATCCATTCAACAAGAAGAGCTAACTATCGTAAATATATATGCACCCAATACGGGAGCACCCAGATTCATGAAGCAAGTCCTTAGAGACCTACAAAGAGACTTAGACTCCCACACAATAATAATGGGAGACTTTAACACCCCACTGTCAACATTAGACAGATCAATGAGACAGAAAGTTAACAAGGAGTTTTTTCCTTTCTCCGCCATCGTGGTGTGTTCTTGCCTCCGCTTCTCGCCATGTCTTCTCACAAGACTTTCAGGATTAAGCGATTCCTGGCCAAGAAACAAAAACAAAATCGTCCCATTCCCCAGTGGATTCGGATGAAAACTGGAAATAAAATAAGGTACAACTCCAAAAGGAGACACTGGAGAAGAACCAAGCTGGGTCTATAAGGAATTGCACATGAGATGGCACATATATTTGTGCTGTCTGAAGGTCACGATCACATTACCATATCAAACTGAAAATGTCACCACTCTCTGGAGAGTTCGACGTATTTTCCTCTCTGAATCTATTATGAATGTGTTGGTTGGCTGGGTTCAGTAATAAATACGTGAGGCCTTTCATTTCAAAAAAAAAAAAAAAAAAAAAAAGAAAGTTAACAAGGATATCCAGGAATTGAACTCAGCTTTGCACCAAGCGGACCTAATAGACATATACAGAACTCTCCACCCCAAATCAACAGAATATACATTCTTCTCAGCACCACATCACACTTATTCCAAAACTGACCACATAGTTGGAAGTAAAGCACTCCTCAGCAAATGTAAAACAAGAGAAATTATAACAAACTGTCTCTCAGACCACAGTACAATCAAAATAGAACTCAGGATTAAGAAACTCACTCAAAATCGCTCAACTATATAAAAACTGAAGAACCTGCTCCTGAATGACTACTGGGTACATAATGAAATGAAGGCAAAATAAAGATGTTCTGGAAACCTATAAGAACAAAGACATAACATACCAGAATCTCTGGGACACATTTGAAGCAGTGTATAGAGGGAAATTTATAGCACTAAATACCCACAAGAGAAAGCAGGAAAGATCTGAAATTGGCACCCTAACATCACAATTAAAAGAACTAGAGAAGCAAGAGCAAACACATTCGAAAACTAGCAGAAGGCAAAAATTAACTAAGATCAGAGCAGAACTGAAGGAGATAGAGACACAAAAAAAACCTTCAAAAAATCAATGAATCCAGGAGTTGGTTTTTTGAAAAGATCAACAAAATTGATAGACTACTAGCAAGACTAATAAAGAAGAAAAGAGAGAAGAATCAAAGAGATGCAATAAAAAATGATAAAGGGGATATCACCACCGATCCCACAGACATACAAACTACCATCAGAGAATACTATAAACATCTCTATGCAAATAAACTAGAAAATCTAGGAGAAATGGATAAATTCCTAGACATACACACCCTCCCAAGACTAAACCAGGAAGAAGTTGAATCCCTGAATAGAGCAATAACAGGCTCTGAAATTGAGGAAATAACTAATAGGCTACCAACCAAAAAAAGTCCAGGACCAAATGGATTCACAGCCGAATTCTACCAGAGGTACAAAGAGGAGCTGGTACCATTCCTTCAGAAACTATTCCGATCAATAGAAAAAGAGGGAATCCTCCCTAACTCTTTTACTGAGGTCAGCATCATCCTGATGCCAGAGCCTGGCAGAGACACAACAAAAAAAGAATTTTAGACCAATATCCCTGATGAACATCAATGCAAAAATCTTCAGTAAAATACTGGCAAACCAAATCCAGCAGCACATCAAAAAGCTTATCTACCATGATCACGTTGACTTCATCCCTGGGATGCAAGACTGGTTCAACATATGCAAATCAATAAATGTCATATAAACAGAACCAAAGACAAAAACCACATGATTATCTCAACAGATGGAGAAAAGACCTTTGACAAAATTCAACAGCCCTTCATGCTAAAAACTCTCAATAAACTAGGTATTGATGGGACGTATCTCAAAATAATAAGAGCTATTTATGACAAACCCACAGCCAATATCATATTGAATGGGCAAAAACTGGAAGCATTCCCTTTGAAAACTGGCACAAGACAGGGTTGCCCTCTCTCACCACTCCTATTCAACATAATGTTGGAAGTTCTGGCCAGGGCAGTCAGGCAGGAGAAAGAAATAAAGGGTATTCAATTAGGAAAAGAGGAAGTCAAATTGTCCCTGTTTGCAGATGACATGATTGTATATTTAGAAAACCCCATTGTCTCAACCCAAAATCTCCTTAAGATGATAAGCAACTTCAGCAAAGTCTCAAGATACAAAATCAATGTGCAAAAATCACAAGCATTCCTATACACCAACAACAGAAAAACAGAGAGCCAAATCATGAGTGAACTCTCATTCACAATTGCTTCAAAGAGAATAAAATACCTAGGAATCCAACTTACAAGGGATGTGAAGGACCTCTTCAAGGAGAACTACAAACCACTGCTCAACGAAATAAGAGAGGACACAAACAAATGGAAGAACATTCCATGCTCATGGATTGGAAGAATCAATATCGTGAAAATGGCCATACTGCCCAAGGTAATTTATGGATTCAATGCCATCCCCATCAAGCTACCAATGACTTTCTTCACAGAATTGGAAAAAAAACTACTTTAAATTTCATATGGAACCAAAAAAGAGCCCGCATTGCCATGACAATCCTAAGCCCAAAGAACAAAGCTGGAGGCATCATGCTACCTGACTTCAAACTATACTACAAGGCTACAGTAACCAAAACTCCATGGTACTGGTACCAAAACAGAGATATAGACCAATGGAACAGAACGGAGCCCTCAGAAATAATACCACACATCTACAACCATCTGATCTTTGACAAACCTGACAAAAACAAGAAATGGGGAAAGGATTCCCTATTTAATAAATGGTGCTGGGAAAACTGGCTAGCCATGTGTAGAAAGCTGAAACTGGATCCCTTCTTTACACCTTATACAAAAATTAATTCAACATGGATTAAAGACTTAAATGTTAGACCTAAAACCATAAAAACCCTAGAAGAAAACCTAGGCAATACCATTCAGGACATAGGCATGGGCAAGGACTTCATGACTAAAACACCAAAAGCAATGGCAACAAAAGCCAAAATTGACAAATGGGATCTAATTAAACTAAAGAGCTTCTGCACAGCAAAGGAAACTACCATCAGAGTGAACAGGCAACCTACAGAATGGGAGAAAAATTTTATGATCTACCCATCTGACAAAGGGTTAATATCCAGAATCTACAAAGAACTTAAACAAATTTACAAGAAAAAGTTAAACAGCCCCATCAAAAAGTGAGTGAAGGATATGAACAGACACTTCTCAAAAGAAGACATTCATGCAACCAATAGACACATGAAAAAATGCTTATCATCACTGGCCATCAGAGAAATGCAAATCAAAACCACAGTGAGATACCATCTCACACCAGTTAGAATGGCAATCATTAAAAAGTCAGGAAACAACAGGTGCTGGAGAGGATGTGGAGAAATAGGAACACTTTTACATTGTTGGTGGGACTGTAAACTAGTTCAACCATTGTGGAAAACAGTATGGCAATTCCTCAAGGATCTAGAACTAGAAATACCATTTGACCCAGCCATCCCATTACTGGGGATATACCCAAAGGATTATAAATCATGCTACGATAAAGACACATGCGCACATATGTTTATTGTGGCACTATTCACAATAGCAAAGACTTGGAACCAACCCAAGTGTCCATCAATGATAGACTGGATTAAGAAAATGTGGCATATATACACCATGGAATACTATGCAGCCATTAAAAAGGATGAGTTCATGTCCTTTGTAGGGAAATGGATGAAGCTGAAAGCCATCATTCTGAGCAAACTATCACAAGAACAGAAAACCAAACACCGCATGTTCTCACTCATAGGTGGGAACTGAGCAATGAGATCACTTGGACTCAGGAAGGGGAACATCACACACTGGGGCCTGTCGTGGGGTGGGGGAAGGGGGAAGGATAGCCTTAGGAGATATACCTAATGTAAATGATGAGTTAATGGGTGCAGCACACCAACATGGCACAGGTATACATATGTAACAAACCTGCACATTGTGCACAGATACCCTAGAACTTAAAGTACAATTAAAAAATAAATAAATAAAATAAAGTATAGCTGGGTTCATTTGTTTTTGTGTTCTACTTTTTTTAATTCCGTGTCCTTGTTGATGTTTTCTTTGAGTATATTTTCTTTAAGTATGTGAAACATTAACATGGTTCTAACATTCAGAATATATTTTTAAATGATGTCAAAGAAATACCACTTCTTCATCATTTTTATCTTATTCTCATACTCTCACATTTTCTACCCACGTCTTACCGATCAGCTTTGGTAAGCAATCTCATTAGTTTCCAGTCTATTCTTCCTAAATTTCTTTCTTTTTTTTTCCACAAATAAGCAAAACATATATATTTTCTTATTCCCCTCCCCCACTTTTTACACAAAAGATGTATTATGGGATATATATTGTTCTATGTTTTGCTTTTTCATGTAACAATATATCCTGGAAATCACTTCAAGTCAGTCCATAGAACTCTTCCTTGTTATTTATTATACTGCATAATTTTATCTTCTGTGGATGTAGCATAGCTTATTTAACCACTCTCCTATGTATGGATACTTAAGATTGTTTCACATATTTTGCAGTTGCAAATAATGCTGCAATTAATAACTGCATATGCATTTTCGCATTGTTAGCAGTGTGTCTTCAGGGTAAACTCTAGATGTTCGATTGCTGAGTCAAAAGGTAAGTGCATATGTAGTTTTGTTGATTCTCCAAGTTTCCCTCCAAAATGGTTATATGAATATGTATTCCCATTTATGTTGCTTTTAACAAGTTATTTTTCTCTTTGTACATTCCCCCAACATCTGTAGTTGTTTTCATGGAAAAGTGGGTCTGAATAAACTATTTCAGCATTATACGGAATAATCCCTTGTGCATCACTCTTTTTTTTTTTTTTTTTTTGAGATGGAATCTCGCTCTATCACCAGACTGGAGCGCAGTGGCACGATCTCAGCTCACTCCTACCTCTACCTGCCGGGGTTCAAGCAATTCTCCTGCCTCAGACTCATGAGTAGCTGGGACTACAGGCACATGCCATTACACCCAGCTAATTTTTGTATTTTTAGTAGAGACTGGGTTTCACCATGTTGGCCAGGATGGTCTTGATCTCTTGACATCGCGAACCGCCCGTCTCGGGCTCCCAAAGTGCTGGTATTACAGGCGTAGGCCATCATGCCCGGCTGCGCATCACTCTTAAATATGAAATCAATCAGTGACCACTGGATGTTTCAGGCAACATTCCACATGAAGGAGACAGAGACCTAAATGACAAAAAAGAAAGTGGAAGCTCAGATGAAACAAAGGCAATGAGGAATAGAAAATAATTTTTAAATCTTGTCATTAATATTCTGTATAAGAAAGACTATTTTGTCCACAAAGAAAAAAAACCTTATTTTTTCTTAAAAAAAGCAATGTGTGTATATATGTGACATAGAGATATATGTATATACACACACACAAGCATGCATATGTGTA